TCAACTCAAAATGGATTAAGGACCTAAATTTAAGACCCCAAACTATGAAACTACTAGAAGAAAACAGGGGAAACGCTACACATAATGGGAGTAAGCAGCACTTTTTGGAGCAAGACTACAAGGGCACAGGCAATTAAAGTAAAAATACATAAATGGGACTACATCAAACTGAAAAGCTTCCATACAGCAAGGGACACTATCAACAAAGTGAAGAGACAACCTACTGAATGAGAGAAAGTGTTTGCAAACTGCACATCAGTCAAGGGGCTAATACCCGGAATATATAAGGAACTCAAGCAATTTAGCAGCAAAAAACAAATAGCCCAATTAAAAAATGGGCAAAGGACCTGAACAGAGATTTCTCAAAAAAAGACATACAAATAACCAACAAGCACATGAAAAAAATGCTCACAATCACTCAGGGAGATGCAAATTAAAACCACAATGAGATATCATCTCACCCGACTTAGAATGGTGTATTAGTCTGTTTTGTGTTGCTATAACAGAATTACCTGAGACTGGGGAATTTATAAAGAAAAGAGGTTTATTTGGCTTACGATTCTGGGACAGCTGCATGTGGCACGGGCCTCAGGCTGCTTCTACTCATGGTGGGAAGCAGCAGGCAGCTGGCAGGCACAAGCAGATCACATGGCGACAGGAAGCAAGAGAGAGAGAGAAGGTGCCAAGGTCTTTTTAAACAACCAGCTCTCATGGGAACTAACAGAGCGAGAACTCACTCATTAATCCCCCCTCCCGCAGGGAGAGCATTAATCCATTCATGAGGGATCCGCCCCCATGACTCAATCAGTTTCCAACACTGCCACATTGGAGATCAAATTTCCACATGAGTTTTGGAGGGGACAACACATCCAAACTCCATCAAATGGCTATTAACAACAAGAGAAAATAACAATTGCTGGAGAGCATGTGGAGAAAAGGGAACCCTCCTACACTGTTAGTAGGAATGTAAATTGGTATAGCCATTGTGGAAAACAGTATGGAGGTTCCTCAGAGAACTAAAAATAGATCCACCTTACAACCCAGCTATCCCACTACAGGGCATATACCCAAAGGAACTGAAATCAATATATCAAAAAGACACCTGCACGCCCACGTTCATCACAGCACTGCTCACGATAGCCAAGAGATGGGATCAACCTAACTGCCCATCAGCAGATAAGTAAAGTGTGTTGTGTACACACAATGGAGTACTACTCAGCTACTAAAAAATCATATCCCGTCATTTGCAGCGGGATCAACCTAACTGCCCATCAGCAGATAAGTAAAGTGTGTTGTGTACACACAATGGAGTATTACTCAGCTACTAAAAAATCATATCCCGTCATTTGCAGTGACATGGATGGAACTGGAAACCACCATGTTAAGTGAAGTAAGTCAGGCACAGAAAGACAAATACCACATGATCTCACTCATATGTGGAATCTTGAAAAAAAAAAAGTGGTTCTCATAGAAGTAGAGAGTAGAATAATGGTTCCCCGAGGCCGGGAAGGGAGGGGTCTAGGAGAAGCGGTGGACTAACGGGTATAAAGCTGTGCTATCTGTGCTGAGTGAATCATTGTGCCGTACATGCATGTACTGAAACAACGCACTGTGCCCCGAAATATGTACAAGTAAGTGTTAAAAAAGAGCAACCTTATATACGAATGTTCATAGCAGCATTATGTATATGAGCCAAAAAGTGAAAACAACCCAAGTGTCCAAATAAAATAAAATGTAGTATATTCATAAAATGGAATATTTTATTCTTCAAAAAGGAATGAAATTCTGATACGTGCTACAACATGGATGAACTTCAAAAACTAAACGAAATAAGCCAGACACAAAGGAACACATTATGTGATTCCATTGATATGAAATTTCCAGAATAGGCAAATTCATATAGACAGAAAGTAGATTAGTAGTTTCCAGAGGCTAGGGGGAGAGGAGAATGAGGAATGACTGCAAATGGGTATGGGGTTTCCTTTAGGAGTCATGCAAATGTTCTGGAATTAGATAGTGGTGATGACTGAACAACTTTGTGAATATACTAAAAACCACTGAATTGCATTAAAAGAGTGAATTTTATGGTATGCAGATTATGTCTTAAGGTTAACTTCCAGATGTCAATCTCATTTAGGATGGAATAAATGAAATATTTCACACATTTAGAAAACCTCATTAACTCAGTGGTAAAATTATTCCTTTTAATAAAATAAGAAGAAACAAATTTGTTCCAGAATAGCAATTTTATTAGTGAGAGTGCAGGGAAAGTCACCATCCTTGATATCAGTATCTTCCTCATTCTATACTCATTTTTTAAAACTTCTTCAAAATATACCATGTTCCCTCTGGTTCAGTGTGGCTATAACATGACCGCACAGTATTCTCTTACACGGAAGCCACAGCAAGGATGACTAGTAGTTCAACTCAAGTGCCAACTCAGATTGGTGGGGAGTAGCCACATGGAACGCGATGTTTAGAAGGATTCTGAGGCTATATCTAGTCTGAGCACAAAAAAATCTAGTGATTAATTCAGAAAATTTGCCTTGAACTTGGCAGTGGTAGTGGAGATGGGCAGCACTTGAGCTAGTTATTTGATCTAGGAAAATGCATTATTCTGCTAAGAGGGTAGATAAACCTTTGGATGCACTGTAATGCAGCTAACAGGCACATTCACACAGCATGACCTAAAAACGAATTTGAGCTCTGTAATTTATATGCTAAATCTCAATATTTTGAAATAGCCAGTACTTTTGGCTGAGATGTCAAAATCACTCAGTAAGTGGCACCATCTTTCATCATACAGTATAATATCAAAGTATTTTAAATAATACATTTTTACATAATGTGTGCTTTCAGAGGGTCTTGACAAGAGAATATTATTAGCATGTGCTTATAGTAAAATCTGACACAGCGAGAGACACTGTCAAGAGAGGTGTTTTGGGGTTTTTTTTAATCGCACTCACTGAAAAGTCACGATAACTGCCAGTAGATGGACTCTGTGAGCCTGAAATAACACACATTTACTGAAGTCTGGGTTTTACCTCCGAGTAGAACTGTTTCTTCCCTCCTTTACACGCCACATAGCATGTTCTTTCTTTGACAGATAAGAGGTAGCTAGAGAATGACCTATTTCTCTAACAGACATTATAAGTCAGTGGTTCTCAAAGTCTGGTCCCCAGCCCAGCAGCACCTGGAGCATCTCTGAAATGCAGTCTGTTAGAAATGCAGCATCACCCCAGACCTACTGGATCGGAAACTCTAGGGGTGAGCCCAGCAGTTCTGTATTTGAACAAGAACTCCAGGTGACTGTGGGCTCAAATTTGAGAGCCACTGCTGAGAGCTGTTCCCTTCTAGAGTGGGGGAGAGGAAGCAGGAGAACGGGAGAAGCTGCAGAAGTGCCCTAGAGAGTGTGGAAGCAAAGGTGGTATTTGGTGTGAATGGTCATAGGCCACAGCAGGGACTTTCTCTGTTTCTTTCCTCTTTTTATACCCCATGTCCCAACTCTCCACTTCCTCAGAACAGGTTTGAAGTGCTCTCGGGATCTCCCCCAATGCCATCCCACCCCATCCCACGGCCAGCCTGCTTAGAGTCCCTTCTTTAGGGGCAGCAGCAAAGAGTGGGAAAATGAGGGTGGTGCTTAAACATTCCCTCATGCCACGATGAAGCAACACTTTTGTTCAAAAGAGGTTCGTGTCAAGAGCCCTGGCTTAGTACTTTAAAACCTAGCAGGCTTCTTTAGGGGCAGCAGCAAAGAGTGGGAAAATGAGGGTGGTGCTTAAACATTCCCTCATGCAATGAGGGAACGATGAAGCAACACTTTTGTTCAAAAGAGGTTCGTGTCAAGAGCCCTGGCTTAGTACTTTAAAACCTAGCAGGCCCCACAACTCGTAAATGCGTGTGACGTGCTTAGTGCCTGGTTCATGGTGAGTATTTACTGTGCATAAGAGGTAATGGTGGTGGTGGCGATTGCTGCAAGGGCCAGATTGTTCCACAGAGGGTGCCTGGGTTGGCATCTAGAAGCAGATGCTATTTGCACTCAGTGGGTGGTTACTATGTTAAGAAGTTTGCCAGCTGGAGATAGATCATGATCCTGGAACCCTTCAGCCAGAAAGCAAGGCAGCCTGAAGACAATGCCCTAACTGTGCCCTAGATGTGCAGATGGTCATCAGCCGAACTGCTGCTGGCCTGTCCATACTCGCTGCAGAGATAAGGATCCTGGCTGGGATGGGCAACAAGCATGGGAGGAGGGGCTGAAGCAAAAGCACAGCAAGTGAAACAAAGAGGCATTCCAGGGCCTTTCTAGCAGTTCAGTGTTGGCAGCCCCCACTGCAGGCAGTGGCAGGGGCTGGGGGCAGCCACAGGATGGAAGACAGCAGGTTAAATGCTGGCCACAAACGTGGGAACCTCAAGCATGAGAATCTGCAGGCCAGGAAGGCAGGCGGTCCCCAAGACCCTTAGACAATCAGATCATTGGTATGGGAAGCTAGATGGGCTTGTAAGGCTCAAGATAGGGTTCTCGGCTTCAGTGCCCTCCTTTTTCTCATAAAAGTGTGTTTCCATGTCCTGGTGCAGCCAGCAGAGCATCACCTGTTAATATTGGGAAGATAGAGGGAGAGGGGGAGGAAGAAAAAGGGGGTGGAGAAGGATGGGGAAAGGGAAGGAGAAGACAGAAGAGAGGAGGAGCAGGGGGAGAGGGGCAAAGAGGGGGCGAGAAGAGGAAGAGACCGTGGAGGAGGAGGGAATGGTGGTGGCCATTGCAGAGTGCCCACTGCCTTCCAAGCCCTGGGCTGCATGTTTTGCACGTTTCCTCATTTAGCTATCAGAACTACGAAATTTGCTTCTGGAAGAGTCTGGGGAAGGGAGTCTTATTCCTACTTGAAAGAAAAATAGCTTATAATGAACTTTTCCTGCCTAGGCCCCCAAATCCAGGTTGAGGTAACCAAAGCAACTCAGCCCACTGTAATGATGCAAGCTCAGTGCAACTGGAGTCACTGGGCATGAGGGAGCCGTGGAAGAAGGGTGAGTCCGCCAAGTGACTGACCCGTCTTGCCTGGTCCCCCTGCTCACGCTGCTCCTCCAGATTCTGGTGCCCCTTAGACTGCAGACTCACATGCATGTGGGGGCTGGGGAGATGCTTGCAGTGTACTAAGAGGGCCTGGTGTGAGACAACAAAAGGCAGCAGACACTTGGCATCAGTGTTAGGAGTTAAGAGGGATTGATGGGGATTGCGGCAAGACGCAGCCCACATGCCACCCTCTGATGAGGCAGCTCTACTCAGCTCCAGCCTTCCGTTGTCCTGTGGGAAAGTGGCCTCAGTGTGGCCAGACCATTCTGATTTTTTTTACAAGAGGCCAGAGATCCAGTGTTCGGGCGACCTTCATGCGGATGACACACCACATCCACAGGCTCTGTGCCCACAGATTGACTGGACCGCAGTTGCATATTTTTCCAAGTTGCAAACAGAAGATTGACCCCTTGCCTGTGTCCTTTTTCTCTCCAGGGCATTACATTTACGTGG